TCATGTTCTTGAAATTCTTGTCGTGCGACTTTGTTGATCCGAACACTAAAAATTTCTATCATTTTATTCTCTCGCAGATGGTGAGGACTCGTGCTACTGGACGAGGTGGACGACCACCAGTGCCACCCACTGATGCCACCAGAGGCCGTGGACGCGGTCGTGGGCGTGGCAGAGGTAGAGTAGCATGGGCAGCACCTGTTAATCCACCAGCTGCCCCAGTTCCAGATCAAGCTCCAGCAGCTGTACCAATTCAAGCACCTGCTATGCCTATTGTGATTCCGGGTCTTCAGGAGACCTTGGCTCAAATTTTGACAGTTTGCACTGGCCTAGCTCAAGCGGTCTAAGCCACTACAGCTGAGATATGTATTAGAGATCCAAAGAAGAGAGTTTTCTTTGCAGGCCACCTCTCTGTTCCTCTCTTACTCTGTTCTTTTACATAGTTACATGATTATTTTTACTTCAGGTCTTTATAATTAATGTTTCTTTGTCATCATTCTTCTCTGTAATATATTCAAATGTATTTGTTAGTGTTAGTTCTCAGAAAATAGTTGGCCTTAAAAAGTTATTGTTGGTTAGTTATTGGTAATTCTTTAACGTATTCATTGGCTAATTGTTGTTATGACTTCTTTGACCAAAAGTTGTTGGCTATATCTGATGAGTTCATACCTATACACTAATTTATTTTCTCATTACCCTGTAAATAAAATATATTTTTTCCCTCAGCATATAGAAACCACTTATACGATATCATTATTGACATTTTTATATTTTGGTTTGTTCTGTTTTAATTACAGGTTTTTCTCTTTGTTGTGTTATAATAGCTATCTGTTCGTGCTGTTTAGTAGCAAATCACTGGTGGTAAGTACTCATCTTTTGCGGGATTTAATTTTTCCCACTTTCCCTCTTCGTATTAAGGAGGTGTTGGTCATTTTATTTATTTCATGTCGTCTCAATCGTACTTTAACTCTTTTCGATTACAAGGTAATATATTCTATCCAAAATTAGTTATGTAGCTATGCATATAATAGAAATATCTTTAGTTGAGGTTTTTTGCTTTATGGTATATGCCAATACAATTTAACTTACATACCTTGTACGCATATCATTCATCAATGATAAACATATAGCTAAAATTATAATTTTTTCCTTTTTTAAGCACCGGTCATTAAAAAAATACTCAGGCAATAGAAAAGCTGCCTTAATGGCGGATAGAAATCATGAAAATGGCCAGACCTTTGGAAAAACACACGATGACAAAAGGGCTAGGAGACGCGAATTATATAGACTTATGCCACCTGATAAAAAAGAGGCCCTTTTGGCACGATGACGTGCAAACGGAGCTGAATTGAAAAGACGGCGGCTTACTGAAAGTTCAATTAGTGTTGATGCTGCTAATGCATCATCATCTAATGCTGCCATGTTTCTGCCATCCAGAGGTCTCTTAATATAAAAGACTCATTGCCCTTTTCAAGAAGAAGAACAGGTAAGATTAAAATTCAAAATTTGTTTAAACTACATCTATTAAGAACAATAGTAATTACTTCTTTTCTAGGTTAATAATATCCTCATAACTAGAGTTCTCATATGCAGGGTATGTTTTCACAGAACCTGGTTGTTCGAGTAGTATGCAAGCAAAAAATACGTATGTCAAATTAAAGGATGTAACGAAATGCCAATTTTGTGGAGCAAAAAGGTTTGAATATGAACTGCCTGCATTTTGTTGTGGCAACGGTTCTATTCAATTAATATCCCATGAAATGCCAACAGAGTTAAGAAACCTTTATCTAGGAAATAGGGAAGAATCAAAATATTTTCGAACTTACATTAGAACATACAATAACATATTTGCGTTCACATTCCTTAGAGTAACATATGACAAAGAGCTAGCAAAGAGAAATAGTGGTATTTATACATTCTGTGTTCAAGAGCAGGTGTATCACTTTATAAATGACTTGATACCAACTGATCAAAAAGGAAAAAACCTTCAGTTATACTTCTTTGATAATGAAAATGAAGTAAGAAACCGAATGTCATGTTCAAACAAACTGAATGAAAATATTGTAAAGAGTTTGATGGATATATTAAAATTTAATCCGTACTCAATGTTTTTGAAATCCTTAATAAATATTTCACAATTATCTGATTTTTATATTGCGCTTAAAAGTGATGCTGGTTTAGATCAACGAGTATATAATTTACCAACCGTATCAGAAGTTGTGAGTATATGGGTTCAACATGATATCAATAACTATATTCATTCACCACATATTCGTATATATACAAAAAGGGATAAAAGTCAACTGGTAAATTATAATTATGGCTGTTACGATCCATTACAGTATCCATTGTTGTTCCCTTACAGTCAAAATGGATGGCATTGTGGTATTAAAAAATTAAATATACTACTGATAAATCAACAATGCGAATATACTGTGAACACGAATAAGAGTTAAAGTATGATTGAGACGACATGAAATAAATAAAATGACCAACACCTTCTTAATACGAAGAAGGCAAGTGGGAAAAATTAAATCCAGCAAAAGATGAGTACTTACCACCAGTGATTTGCTACTAAATCGCACGAACAGATAGCTATTACAACACAACAAAGATAGAAACCTATAATTAAAACAGAACAAACCAAATATAAAAATGTCAATAATGATATCGTATAAGTGGTTTCTATATGCTGAGGGAAAAAATATATTTTATTTATAGGGTAATGAGAAAATAAATTAGTGTATAAGTATGGACTCATCAGATATAGCCAACAGCTTTTGGTCAAAGAAGTCATAACAACAATTAGCCAATGAATACGTTAAAGAATTGCCAATAACTAACCAACAATAACTTTTTAAGGCCAAACATTTTCTGAGAACTAACACTAACAAATACATTTGAATATATTACAGAGAAGAATGATGACAAAGAAACATTAATTATAAAGACCTGAAGTAAAAAGAATCATGTAACTATGTAAAAGAACAGAGTAAGAGAGGAACAAAGAGGTGGCCTACGAAGAAAACTCTCTTCTTTGGATCTCTAATATAGAAGTTTTTAGAAAAGTCATTTTTTCCTCTTATTTTCGCATTTCCCTCATACCATGAGAAGTCTTCATGTTTTCCAAAAATCCAAATACTAAAAGGGAAAACCACAATATATGAATCTCCTACATTGATAAACATATGGCTCCTAAGCAGGAGCAAACAAACAGCTACAATGTTACATCTAAAAGAGGGATTATCACCGGTCCATTCTCTTCCCAACAACATCTTTAGGCAAAGATGGGAAGCCTAAAAAGAAGCGTATGCATTTTGTGGAGCAAAATGCCAATTTTATGGAGCAAAATTCACTATCAAGGATGTACCGAAATGCCAATTTTGTGGAGCAAAAAAGTTTGAATATGAACCGCCTGCATTTTATTGTGGCAACGGTTCTGTTGACAGTTATACTTCTTTGATAGTGAAAATGAAGTAAGAAACCGAATGGCATGTTCAAACAAACTGAATGAAAATATTCTAAAGAGTTTGATGGATATATTAAAAATTAATCCATACTCAATGTTTTTGAAATCCTTAATAAATATTTCACAATTATTTAATTTTTACATTGCGCTTAAAAGTGATGTTGGTTTAGATCAACGAGTATATAATTTATCAACTGTATCAGAAGTTGCGGGTATATGGGTTCAACATGATATCAATAACTATATTCCTTCACCACATATTCGTATATATACAAAAAGTGATAGAAGTCAACTGGTAAATTATTATTATGGCTGTTATGATCCATTACAGTATCCATTGTTGTTCCCTTACGGTCAAAATGGATGGCATTATGATATTAAAAAAATTAAACATACTACTGATAAATCAACAATGCGAATATACTGTGAACACGAACAATTACCGAGTGTAATGAATATGTGCTCAATTCATGGATTGCTCGATATGGAAGCTGAAGTTATGCAAAAAGGAAAACGAAAAAGAGACACAGTTTCTTGTCGTGAATATTACTGTTACAAACTTCAAATAAGAGATGATGAAAATATACTTTTACATGCTGGCAAATTATTTCAGCAATATACTGTGGATGAATGGATTAAAATTGAAAGCCAAAGATAAGATTTTGCTTCTTTAAATCAGGATTTATTCAGAGTCGATTTATTAGGTGGGCTTTTAGATGTCCTACGCTGTGGGGAAAGAGAAGCTTCACATGTTGGAAAACAAAAAATACTCCCACTTAGCTTTACAGGAGGCCCAAGAGATATGCGCCGAAGGTATATGGATGCTATTGCATTAGTGCAACGCTTTGGAAAACCTGATATATTTTTGACTATGACCTGTAATCCTTCTTGGCCTGAAATAAAAGAAAACCTCCTATCAATAGATGAAACACAAAATAGACCGGATTTAATAAGTCGAGTATTTCGAGCAAAATTAGAAGAGTTGAAAAAGGATATTGTCAAAACACAAATATTTGGCAAAGTCACAGCATTTATGTATACAGTGGAATTTCAAAAAACGGGGACTTCCACGTGCTCATTTTCTTATAATCCTTGATGAAAAATATAAGTTACTAACTCCTGAAGCATATGACCATTTTGTATATGCTGAATTACCCGATGAAAAAGAAAATTCTACTCTATATTCACTTGTTACAAATCACATGTTGCACGGTTCATGTGGAGAATTAAATCCAACAAATTCTTGTATGTAGAAAAAAATAGGTCAATGTAAATTTAAGTATCCTAAAGAGTTTGCAGAACAAACAACTAAAGGAAAAAATTCGTATCCAATATATAGAAGGCGAAACACAGGAAAGAAAGTAAAAATTAGAGGACACCTTCATGATAATTCATGGGTTGTTCCTTATAATCCATATTTACTTAATAAATTCAATTGTCATATAAATGTTGAGATTTGTTCTGATATTAAAGTTGTCAAGTACATCAATAAGTATATTTGTAAAGGACATGATAAAATTGTATTTTATATACATGCTAATGATACAAATGTAGAAATAGATGAAATAAAAGAATACCAATCTGTTAGGTGGGTTTCACCGCCTGAGGCTACATGGCGTATATTTGCTTTCCCTATTAGTGAAATATTTCCAAATGTATATCATCTTCAGCTACATCTTGATGGACAACAACTTGTTTCCTTCAAGAGTACAGACAATATTAGTAAAATTGTGAACAATCCTATGATTAAGAAAACAATGTTAACCGAGTTCTTTTTAATGAATAGAGAAAACAAAGATGCTAAGAACCTGAATTTATTAAATCGAGAATTTCCCGAATATTTGTATGGTCATCAACAGATAAAACATGGACACGCCGTCAACGAGGAAATGCTATTGGTCGCGTTGTGACATGTCATCCAACCGAAGGAGAAAGATACTATCTTAGGCTACTTCTAATGAATGTATGAGGACCAAAATCATATGAAGATTTGCGAACAGTAAATGGAGTATGTTGTACCACATTTAGAGAAGTTGCAGAAAGAAGAGGATTACTACTTTGTGATAATAATTTGATAGAATGCATGTCTGAAGCTGTAAGTTACCAAATGTCATCCAGTTTAAGACAATTATTTGCTATGTTATTGATCTATTGTAATCCAACTAATCCAAGAGAATTATGGGAAAAATTTGAAAGCCCAATATTCAAAAGAAATCTGAATATAGATGCAAGGGAAATTCGTTACAAAGTGTTAAACCATATTAATAATATTCTTCCTTCAATGGGGTGTGATATTAATGAATTTGAACTAATTTCAGAAGTGATAAAGCCATATGCAATAGCAAAAGAAGCTAAAGATGTTGATTTCGAGAGAAATATCATTGTTAGTGATGAAGATTTACTGTTGAAAAATAAATTAAACATTGAACAAAGAAGAGCTTACAATATGATTCTCGATAGAATATTTTCAAATAGATCAGGGGCATTCTTTATTGATGGTCCCGGTGGGACTGGTAAAAGCTTTTTATATCGTGCTTTATTAGCTACTGTGAGACACAAAGGATTTATAGCTTTAGCAACTGCAAGTTCCGGTGTTGCAGCTTCACTTCTTCCTGGAGGTTGAACTGCTCATTCTCGCTTTAAAATTCCTATTGATGCCAATGAGAACTTCAGCTGCAATATTAGTAAACAAAGCTCATTAGCGTCTTTAATACGAGATGCAAAACTAATTGTATGGGATGAAATTTCAATGGCCAAAAAGCAAACGGTGGAAGCATTTGATTTGCTTTTAAGAGATCTAATGGAAACAAATATACTATTTGGAGGAAAGGTAGTTTTCTTTAGTGGTGATTTTAGATAAACTCTTCCCATAGTTCGTAGTGGCAAAAAGGAATATTTCATTCGTGAAAGTTTATTATGCTCTGAAATTTGGAATCAACTTAAAAAATTACAACTATCTGAAAATATGCGTGCTAAAACAGATCTTGCCTTTTGTGAATATTTAATAAGAATTGGTGATGGAAAAGAACAGAAAAATGACTGTGGAAAAATTGAAATTCCTCATTCCCTCATTATTCCTTATACTTCTGAAAAAGAATCCTTGAATTTGCTCTTCCGAGTTACTTATCCTCATTTATACAAATGTCATTCAAATGCTTCCTTTATTACTTCTCGTGCTATTCTAACAACCAAAAATGATTTTGTTGATAAAATAAATGACATGCTGCTTGCTCAATTTCCAACTACTGAAAAAGTTTACATTTCTACTAATGAGACAATTGATCCAAAAGATCAGAGTGAGTACGAAGATTTTTTGTACACTTTAAATCATGCAGGTCTACCTCCTTATAAATTATCTTTGAAGAAAAATTGCCCCATTATGTTATTAAGAAACCTGAATCCCAGTGAAGGTTTATGCAATGGAACACGGTTAATTTATAATGATTTTAAAACCCATGTTATCAGTGCAACAATATCTAGCGGCGATTTTAAAAATAAACATGTATTTATTCCGCGAATACCACTCATGACATCAGAAGATGAGAAATTACTTCTCCCTTTTAAACGAACGCAATTTCCAATACGATTATGTTTCGCCATGACAATAAATAAAGCACAAGGTCAAACATTAGATTTTGTGGGTATCTATTTGCGCGAACCTGTCTTTTCTCATGGTCAATTGTATGTTGCTTTATCAAGAGCAAAAAGTTCTAATTGTGTGAAAGTATTAATTAGACCACCTACTGCTGACGACGACGATGATCACTTTACATATAATATAGTCTATGATGAAATTATTAAAAAAGCTTTTTCCCGACCTCTTGCTATAATTTCTTATGGTAAATCTAATTATAACTTGATTTTCTGTATTCTTTCATTTTATATTAAACTCATTCTATCTTTATTGTTAATGTATACTCTTTTACTAATATTAGCATGTTGCAATTGCAGATTAATTCCAATATGGGTGAAAGGTTAACTATCAATGCAATCACTCCCAAAACGGAAGAATGGACTTGTAAGATCCAAGTAGTTGATAAAGGTTGTCCCAAAGACAACAAAGAGAAAACCAAAAAATATCAACTCATGACATTACAGGATGAAGAGGTATTCTTTATTAAATTCATAATTCTCCCAACAATAACCAAATTAAATCATCGTTAGCTCATATATGAGAGCTTTCTAATATTTAAATTTTGTTTGCTCTGGTGCTATAATTTCTGCCAATTTGTTTGAATATAATAATATTAACTGTATCTTATTTTCTTACAGGAAAATCAAGTCCAAGCAATCATGTTCAATGCTGATATAACACATTTTGAAGATTTATTTGATCCTTTCCATACTTACTTGGTGTCAGTTGCACAAGTGAAGGAGATCTTATTTGTATGGAAATCCAATTAACATTTTCACTTGGACAATTGATAGAAGCACCATTGTCGAGCCAATTGAAAAGGTCACTCCTCCAGAGGATCCATTACCGCCGCCAACGCGGCTAACTCTTACCGCATTTGACACCTTTGAGTATCAAGCCAAAGAATCTGAATTTGGTATTTAAAGATTTAATTGTGTATGTTTGTGCATATAAAATCCCTTTATTATACCTTTTCAATAGTCTTTATCTTATTATTATTATTATTATGACACAATATGTTTCATGATGTATTAACTTATTTGTTATTTGTTTTAATGCAAGATGTCCTTGCTATTGTGGTTAACGGAGGCCCTTCAACATATGCTGCAAATGGAAGAAGAATTCAAGAATTTATTATTATGGATAATCAGTAAGTATATATCTCCTGCTATTCTTATCCTCCATTTTTTCTGCTGCTCCTTTTCTTCCTGCTCATCTTCGACCTCCTCTCCTCTTTCGACTGCTTCTACTGGTTACTTCATACAACTGTCAAAACTTCAGTATTTTAACCACTTGTAGCATGCTAGTTTGAAATTTATTATTCAATGTGTTTGTCCAACATTCCATTTTTCATGAAGCTTTAATATTTTATTTGAGCATCTTCTTTTCATGATTTACAGGAAAAAACCAACAAAATTTACACTGTGGGAAGATTTTATTGATCTTTATGGGAATAAACTTTTGAAACAACTTAATGAATACCCAGTTATTCTTGCTAGAAAAATTGGCAAATCATTATCAGGTATACTGCACATATATTTTACCTTTTTCCTTTTCAAATGAAACAATGAAATTAAACCTTAATATTTGAATGCATGCAGGAGGATCGTCGAACAAATTCAATGGACTTTCAAGCAAATTTAGTACAACAATCCAATTCAATCCTCCATATCCACAAGCTACTGAGTTGAAGTCATGGTACTATGCATTTATTTCTTTCTGAATAATGCATATCGACAAATACGTTGTTCATATAATGCATGAATGTGTACAAGAACAAATTTTTAAATTTTAACTTGCTTGTAGGGCCAAAACAATTGAACCAATGCTTACTGCATACACGGCGAAGATACATCTTCATCAGGCTCTGTTATGGTGGTTCCCTTTGAGGATGAAATCATAGCTATTTCCAATATTCAAGCGCAACCTCGGGTAAGAACGACAACAAATTATGTTATTCTACAAAAAATTAATTATTTTTTGTGATCACAAAAAAGAAATCTGTTCCAATCTTGAATTTGCTAGGGACAAGTATTTTATGTCGAGGCTGAACTTTCTCTGCCAAATGAGAACCAACGCTTCTGTGTGTTAGCTTGTTCTGACTGTAAGCAATTGTTCACGAGATCTTTCTCTCAGAGAACAATTTACTGTACAAATTGTCAGCGGTCCACACATCTCATTCCAAGGTATAAATGCTACTAGAATCTTCTCTGATGATCAAAGTTTACAAATTATTTTGTTATTTATTCATCTAACCAACCATTTGCTTTACATCAAAATAGATGTCAATTTGAAGTCACTGTTAGAGACAATAGCGGTTCTGCAACAGCTATTATTTCTGACAAACCTGCAGAAAAAATATTATTCCTCAACTCAGAAGAAATTTATGACATCTACCATGTCAAGTTACATATTACATACCATTGTTAACTTCAAAAAGATACAGACAAGTATCATTGGCAAGATGACTCTCTTTTGATATATAACTAACTGATTTCGTCCTCCCAGAAACAACTTTTACCCCTTGCAGATGTGCAAAAGCAATTGTGCGGAAAAACATTCAAAATTCAAATGAAAAAATTGTTTACAAGAAGTCAGGATGCAATGCAAAAGTTATCCATTTTATCTTACATGAACAAGGAAAATGAGATCCACCAACAGTTTACCCCAACCACGATGGATGTTATCAAAGGGAGCAAACGTAAAATTGAACGTCTTGGCTTAGAGGAAAGAGAACCTCAAGATACAACCAAGCGTAGCTTGGAAATGAAAACTCCTCATTTGAAAAAATAATTTTAAAGGTATTTGAACCTTTTAATTTAGTCATTCCTTTATTTGCTCATATTATAAATTTTGAGATGTAATTAATACAATAGTTTTAAAAAATAGCCCAATACATGTATAGTTTCTACATACACCTGTTCTTACATCTTTTAGCATTGTTTAATTTTCTCTTGCAAAGTTCTAGCAATTTTAATTGATGTGCAGCATATTTACTTAGTTTTATTTGCTTTCTAATCTCAAATTACAAGTGCGTAAAGTAATAACTCTAAAACATTCCAATTATTAGTTTTATGGATTGGTTCATCGAATTTTAATTTTATAACTTTTTTATTAAATGCTTTGTTTTGTCCAAGGTGACAAAAACGATATAGATAAAAATGAAATTGCAACCAAGAATTATGAAAGAAAGAAGTTTGATTTCGTGTAACCATCGATCTCTAGCTTCTAATATAAAGTTATAGTGTTTAAAATAGTGCCAGATTACTACTAGCACAAAGGCACCACAGTAATGTGATCGGGTTTTTGTATCTCATAGAGATACATACATATATATATATATATATATATATATAAAAAATATATGTGTGATGGAAGAGTACTGTCACGACCCAAAATCCCAACCCGGTCGTGATGGCGCCTCTCGTGAGGACAAGGCCAGCCAATCAACAAAACAGTACATCTCTTTATAATTACTTAGCAGGAATAAGTCTAAATCATGGGCAATATAATCTTAAATGCGAAATAAACGTGATAAAACAAGAAAAACCCTCCAAACTCAACCCGAAATCGGGGTGTCACAAGTTATGAGCTATTACAGAGTTTATTAATATTTTACAAAGTCTGGAATTATCATAAATAACAAAGATAAGGGAGAAAA